GCGGAGCACAGGCTCCGGACGCGCAGGCTCAGCGGCCGTGGCTCACGGGCCCAGCCGCTCCGCGGCATGTGAGATCTTCCCGGACCGAGGTACTAACCCGCGTCCCCTGCATCGGCAGGCGGACTCTCAACCACTGCACCACCAGGGAAGCCCCCAAAAGTTTCTTTCTTGGTCAGCTATATCAATCTAACATCTTCAGGGTCCTTCTGGTTAAACGTTCCCCTCTCGTGAGCGCAGAACAGAGGCCCCATCCCTTAGATGCTGTTCGTGGACAGGCTGACGTGGCTGAGAGTGTGCTTTGGGAGAAAGCAGGGGGCTCTGCTGTGGGCACATTGGCGGCACAAGCAGACCAGTGGTGGGGCCTTGGGAGAGGGCCTTTCTGCCAGTGCCCTCATCGTTTAAAAGTTTATAAAACTAAGATTAGGGCTGGTTGGAGTTTGTTTAGTTTTGGACAGAAGGAACTAATTTTTCAACAGTTTGATTGATGCTCATGGCCTTTTTTTTGTTTTTTTTTAAGACACCCATAAAGAAACCAGGGGATGGAAGAAAAGTAACGTTTTTTGAACCTGGCTCTGGGGATGAAAATGGGACTAGTAAGTGTGAAGTTAATATTGTCTTGGTCTGACTGTGATTCTGGGCTTTGCATGGTTCCTGGTAATAGCAGGAACCTAGGTAATGAGTTAGTGGTCAGTGCTTGGTTCTGCATTACGCCTGTGCTGTTGTGTGTGCTGGGGTGGGGGGCAGCGTGGGGTTTTACAGCATCTCTCCACGCGGCGTGCGTGGACTTGGGTTGATTTGTCTGCTTGTCCATCCCCAGGCCATAAAGAGGATGAGTTCAGGATGCCTTATCTTAGTCATCAGCAGCTGCCTGCTGGAATTCTTCCCATGGTGCCCGAGGTCGCCCAGGCCGTAGGAGTCAGTCAAGGGCATCACACCAGAGAGTTCAGCAGGGTAGCCCCGAACCCTGCCAAGGCCACGGTAACTGCCATGATAGCCCGAGAATTGTTGTATGGGGGCACCTCGCCTACAGCCGAGACCGTTTTAAAGAATAACATCTCTTCAGGCCACGCACCCCATGGACCTCTCACGAGACCCTCAGAGCAGTTGGACTATCTTTCCAGAGTCCAGGGATTCCAGGTAACTGTTGGGTCTGAGCTGTGTGGTCTGTACCTCAGTGCGGTCATCTCTGGTTTCTCTCAGTACTAAGTAACTTGTTTTTTTAAGTCAAGTTCTTTGTCTCGGGGGATGGTTGGGGGAAGCATGGTAAAGAGTGGTCCTGAGGAAGGGAGGAGGCACGGGAAGTATTAGAACCCTGGATGGTAAGAGAATATCCTCAACCTTTGGTAATTTTTAAAAATCCAGGCCAACCGTAATGACAAGGCCTCGAATCCAGTGGGAGTTACAAAGTTAGACTTCAGTGAGAACAGATTCACGTGCTGGCCCTTTTTCTACCTGCTAGGAAAGGACATGGCTTCTTCCAGACCAGGGTTTCTGAGTAGACATTTAGGTTCCTGGAGGATTCTGGAAGCTGGGGCCCTGGCATCCTGCCTGCAGCCGTCAGTGCCCCTTAGCCGCAGACCCCACTGTGAGTCTCTTGTGCCTGTTGAGCAGGAGTTGGTGTAGACAAGTCAGGCTGAGACCAGGGAGAGGTGTCACCTCTGTTCACTGGGCCCAGAGCCGCAGCCGTGTGCCAGGCTCATACTCCCCGCCTTCCTGTCCTTGCCTCAGTTTTCTTTTCCCCTTTAGGTTGAATACAAAGACTTCCCCAAAAACAACAAGAACGAATTCGTATCTCTCATCAATTGCTCCTCTCAGCCGCCCCTGATCAGCCATGGTATCGGAAAGGATGTGGAGTCCTGCCACGATATGGTACGTTACCCCCCGCGGTGGGCCTGGCTCCAGCTCGTTGCTGGCCTCAGAAAGACAGGAAAAGGATTCTCCTGCAGACTTCGAGAACAGTTGATTGTTCTACAGGGTTCATATTTCTGAGGACTTTTCTTAGGTTACTGGCTTGATTTCTCATTCTGTTGATCAGAACTCATGGGCTTTGGCCAACCCCTCTCCTCTCTTCCCTTGCTGACCTGAGAGGTGGACTTGGGTCCTGGAACGCATCCAGATACTGTATTCAGTTCATCTCTGACCAGAACAAGGAATTGCATGCCCACGTTCTGGCAACTTAGAAAGCCCCTTGTTTTGGTGTTCTGTTCAGATGAAATTATTATTGTAAGAAATACTAAAATGAAGAAAAGGAATTGATTAAATTAATTGACATAAACTGTGGTATATTCACCTGATGTAATATAATGTGCCCATCATATTAATGTCACCGAGGGTAATGTATTCTAATTCTAACACGGAAACATGATAAGGTTTTATTTTAAAGCGGGATATAAAATTTGTAGAGTCTGGTGACCACAGGTTAAAAATGTTAGAAGGCAATATATAATAAAATTAACAGAGGTTGTGATTCAGTGAGGTAACCATGGATAACATTTTTTAATTTATATTTTTAATTAAAAATTCAAACATGAAAGGGTTATTTAGTGGGACCACTTGTTTTGTTTGGCAGTAGGACAAGCCCTCGACTCGCTATTCAGTGTCGTATACTGTGGTCCTGAGCGGTGGCCGTGGTTTGACTTCCCTTTTCATTCCTGCTAGGCTGCACTGAACATTTTAAAGTTGCTGTCTGAGTTGGACCAACAAAATACAGAGATGCCAAGAACAGGAAATGGACCAATGTCTGTGTGAGTGAGCTGATCTACATGGAAAGGCAGTTCTGTTCCTCATTTGCATTAAATTCAAATTGTCTGCTCAAGTTAGTAGTGAAATACTTGTCTTAGTCACTTTCTGTCCCTTTGCCCTGAAAGGTTTCCAAGTTTTGGGCAGAGAGCTCTACTTCTTTTTAATTTGTTTGTTTTGTTTTTTTAATTTATTTATTTATTTATTTTTGGCTGTGTTGGGTCTCCGTTTCTGTGCGAGGGCTTTCTCTAGTCGCAGTGAGTGGGGGCCACTCTTCATCGCGGCGCGCAGGCCTCTCAGCGTCGCGGCCTCTCTTGTTGCAGAGCACAGGCTCCAGACACGCAGGCTCAGTAGTTGTAGCTCACGGGCCTAGCTGCTCCACGGCATGTGGGATCTTCCCAGACTGGGGCTCGAATCCGTGTCCCTTGGGTTGGCAGGCAGATTCTCAACCACTGCGCCACCAGGGAAGCCCTTTTTTTTTTTTTTTAAGCTTTCACTTTTTTTTTTTTTTTTTTAAGCTTTCAATCGGTAATACATTCACATGGTGCAAAAGTCAAAATTATTTTAAAAGGTGTCCACAGTGATACGTCTTGCCCCTCATGCAGTCCTCATCCATACCATTCTCTTCACCCCACCCAGAGATCACATTTGTATTAGTTTCTTGTGTACCTTTCCTGTATGTTTCTTTATGCAGATACATTTATTTCCTTATTTTCTTCCTTTTCCTCCTAGAGATAACATACTACATACCCATTCTCTTCTTTGCTGTTTTCACTTGCTGGTGTATTCTGGGAAGACCTTAATCCAGTTATCATAAACTGGGGCCTGAACTATTGGACTTCTCGATGTCTGCTAGTTTCATTTTTAACATGGCTTAATTGTCTTAAATTTCAAAACTTGGGTCATTTTTGGTTTTTTTCTTCCTTAAAGGTGTGGGAGGTGCTGAACCTTATCTGGCCATGAACCATTGAAAAATCCCAACATACATACTGAAAATACTGAAACTGCTTTGAAAATTTGGAACTTCTGATACCTCCAGTGGGCCGAGAGACATGATGGGTAAAGGACTGGAGACAGCAGTGGTGAAGAAGGCGGGGCCCCGAGGAGGCAGCGGCATGGCCGCTCGCCTGTGCTATGGTTTCTCCTCATGCAGCAGCAGCTGCTGGGGGCCGGGCGGGCCTGCCGGGCACCCCGGCGCCACTGGGAAACCAGCGGGTCCACGCCCCAGGCACCCTAGCACTTGGTTAGGGTGGGTGGGGGTTGGTTTTTGGTTTTGGTTTTTTGGGGTGGTTTTTTTTTTTCCTTGCTGTGTGAAAGAAGAAACAGAAAGCACGACTCCTTCTCAAACTGGCTCACTCAGACGCTTTGGGACAAACCCTGGACACCACGCTGGAGAGAGGCCTTAGTCTGGCCCCAGAGCTGAAAGCACCAGAGAAAAATCACATGCTTCCTACTCAGCCTGAGCTGACCTCGGCGTGCTCTGGCCCACACCTACCGCGGTACCCACGCCGTCACCACTGCTCTCTTCCAAGAGATACGTATTCTTAGTTTCATTATTTTCTTTTGATTGAAATGACACTATATAAAATTTTCATTTGAGAGTTTCTCAGTTGTATTTAGTTACATAGCACAGTTTAGAAACTTGTCTGAGACTGACCTTATCAGTAATCTAACCGGCAAAGATCATATCCGTGTGTATGTGGTTATACATTTTTATTTCATTGGACTAACCCAGGACCATTTCAGTGATGAAAATTGTGTGCCCTCTGGTTTAGCTGAAACAGTCCTGCACTTCTCAGAAACCTTGAAGTCTCCCATAGTTGTATAAATTGGACAATTTAGGAATTTTAAACTTTAAATGATCATTTGGTTCCTTTTCTATTTTATTTTTGTTAATGCAACAGGACTTAAATGAACTTTGATCTTTGTTTTAAAGATTAAAAAAATTGTGTGTGTATATATATATATATGAATGTGTATATATATATATACATACATATATATATATATATATATATATATGACTCTTGAAGACACATAGCTTTCACTACACTACAGGATATGATCTCCATGTAGCACATCTACAACTGCAAATTGATTTTCCTTGAGTGCTTTATACTGTTGATTACATCTCCATGTAGGGCTGAAAAGAATGACCCATGTTTATCTCTATAACTGTGTTGCTTTTGATGTCGTGTTGCTGTGCACAGAAATGTGTGCGGCGAGGTCCTGCATATGGTCCAGATGAAAAGCACGGTAGCCTTGCGAGTTAAGTACTGCTTCGATTCATTGTTTACGCTGGAATTTTTTCTCCCCATGGAATGTAAGTAAAACTTAGTGTTTGTCACCAATAAATAGTAATACTAAATTTTTTTTGTTAATTTATTCTTAAATGCCACTACTGCTAGGTTGGTCCCTCCCAACCTGCCCCCTATACTTTTTTTATTTTTAAGAAAAAAACTTTGTAATGCTTGTGATTCCATTTGGGCAAAATTCTGAAGCTCTGAAATAACTTTATATCAAACCATTGATCAATAAACAGCTACTAATGAATTTTTGGTCCTGTCGAGCAGTAACTGAAGCAGTAAGGGAAGATGTGAGGGCATGGAAGCATGGCGTGGGGGGCACTGCTGCCAGTGAGGGGCAAGTGGGTGCCCGGGTGAAGGGAGGCGCCTCTCATCTGAACCAGACGATGTCACCCAAAGAAATGACCGAGAGGAGAGAGGCTTCCTGGTCACTTCCCTCAGGCGGGCTCGCGCTTGGAAGAGTGAAGGTGAGGCGTTGCATTCTAGTCTGGCTGAGGAGTGGGGCTGGTAGTTTTCTATTTTTTCATTTTAGAATATGCTCATAAAGGTGGTTCACTATAAAACCAGCCTGTGGACTGGACTGCAAGAAGCACCGGAAGTGAGGTTATGGAAAAATGCTACAGGGTATGAGGGGACTCAGCAGGGCAGGGATAAAAGCAGTGAAAGGAAAGGCATTTTTTCCCTTTCCAATCCTGGATTCAGCATTTCTGCAAGAAGCCTTGATCCTCTTTAGTGATAGATGACATTTAGCAACCAAGGTCTGGGTGCTCTGAGACCTCACTGCTAGGGATGTGTTGTGTCTGGGCCCTCTTAGTGGACAGCTAGGAAGTGTATCTGTGTGTACGTATACACATCTGCCGATTTGTATATCTACTTAAAAGCCATGTGTTGGTCCTGATACCTCTGGCACCTCAGGGTTCTTCACAGCCTTCCCTGCTGTGTTTTTAGCACCTTTTCCCACATCGAGATTGTAGCCAGTGTCCCAGCCTTGCCAGCCACTCCCTCCACTCCTGCCCTGAGATCTTGCTGCCTCTGCCCAGCTCTCGCCTCCTTGCCTCACAGTGTTTCCAACCGGTGACCCTCCACACTGTGAAGGGAAGATGGAAAGGGCTGGACAGTACAGTCTTAGAAGTAATTCATGACTTCTAATTGGCAGTCCAGTTGGCCCTCATTGACAGCACTCCAAGAAGGGGAAGTTTCCTCTTAATATCTGGGATATTGTTAGGAAGGATCTACAGGTTTCTTTGACAGATTTTTTTGAAGGTGTATTTTGGTTGCTTTGGAAAGCTGTCCAGATGGGATGTCCTTGACTATTCTTACATTGTAAACTCTCAAACTAGTCTTGCCTCTGTGAATGCCCTGTAGCTGTCATCGCCTGCTGAGGACTCACTCACCTGCAGTATCTCTGTCTCAACAGGCTTTGAGAGAGCTGCCTGGGAATCGAGTTTGCACTAAGTTTTATCCCAACATGATCTCTAAGAGTTGCAAGAACTTTGGCTCAAAACTAGCCCTTGGGACAACATGCAGTCCTGGTTTCCAGACTACAGGCAGAAAAGCAGACATGAAGGCACCTGAGAGGCAGGTCTGAAAAAATCAGAGCTGCGAGTCAGCCACAGTAAGACTAGTGGGTCTTAGGATTTGAGGAGCATCGATCTGCAAAGGTGGAGCAGCTCCTGTTGTCTTTGGGGAAGACAGACTTAGGATTCAGTCACCCCACAACAGGTGCACTGACATTAGGTCAATTTCGTTAAGTTCCTCTTATCACAGGGAGATATTAATGAGTAAGGATGATTTCCCCATAGCAGGGTTTTGTTCTGGTTTGTATTTTTAAAGGCCTTCTTGAGCTGAGCAATGTGAACTGTAGCTCTTAAAAAAAGTGTCATTTCTGAATCTAGGTTTTGTTCCATAGCTCACTGAGCTAATGTGCCCAGCTTTGCAGGGTGAATGCCCAGTGACGGAGACCTTGGCCTGGGTCCCAAGGTCTGAGTCTGGGGTTCTTGTGACCCATGGGAAAAGACACCCGGCCATTCCCAAGAAGCAGTATGCTGCTGCTTGCTCTCTAGAAGCTAACAGGAGCTCAGCAGACTACAACCACCAGGAAATAAACCTGAGGATGGAGATGTGTAGCTGTTTGTTTGTATGAAACTTAACTTCAGAAACTTCCGACATTATCATCTCTGGTTTAAGTGCTTAAACATCTGTGTGCCCTTAAAAACAGACAAGAAAAACTTTCTAAATCCATAAATAATGGATTGTTGAGCACTTAAGCACTGCTGGATTGGCAGGGAGGAGTTAACCAATTTTCTGAAATAGGCTTTTAAAGAGATGTGTGTGAAGATGCAAGGCTAACTGAGACTGGAGAGGGTGTGGTTTCTAGTCATCAAAGCAGCAGAGCTGTTTTCTTGGTATTTGGCACTGTGTGCTTGCAGTGGTGTGTTTAATGTATATATACAATGTATATATAGAATATACATATGAAACTGTAATTTTTACAACTCCATATTCTAATCAGACTTCTTGGCATACCAATTTTTATTAGGAAAAATTATACGTAATTTGGGAAATTGGTACTACTTTGCTTAATATGTGCTTAATAACTTGTTTGATATTTTAAAAGTAATTTCCTTTGTACATTCTTTTACAAATATTTTCATCAAAACCTACTTTGTTGGAAGTAGGCCTGTGATGACAAATTATAAAGCAGTCTTTGTGTATTGGTAATTTTAAAAAGGACCTTTGAAAGTAAACTGTGAAAAATTTGTAAGTTATCCCTAAAAGCCCTCTATCCAAACACAAACCCTATCGTTTATTTCCACCCCCTTTCACACGCACTTCTTTCATGATTGTGTCTGCAGTGCACATGCAGTGGTGCCACCCATTGTAAAGCTGAACAACCTGGAGCTCGGTGGTCCCAGAGAGGATCAGGTATGCCTGTCCCCTGCTGCCCTCCTACAGAGCCAGCTGGATCCAGCCTTCAGCTCACTGTGGCTGTCCTCACTTCTTTAGGCTGCAGTAGAAGCAGTGACAGGGGTGTCTCTCTCTGACCTCTGACATTGCTGAGCCTGGATTCAGTAGTGGGCAGTTGGTGCCACTTTGGAGTGAGATCTAACAGAATCCTGTGCCGCTTCCTCAGACTCTTCTTGCCTGCCTTTTTAATCGTGTATTGGCTCCAGCTGCCAAAAGCCTGCCCCAGGAAATGGCCTGAGATTCCCTTGGGCCTGTGTTTTACTGTGTAAATATCGCCACCTCCCCACAGGTCTGTATGCTGAGCATATGCTCACCTGGTAGATTCAGGACGCATATCTGAAAATGTTCCTCTGGACCCCTAATAGCTTACTTTCCTCTCTGATTGGCTCCTTGGGCTCATGGACAAGAATAATGTAAACCAGGTTGAATCCAGCTAAGAAAACTGCAAATGCTCAGACCTTCCTTAGCCCAGGGACCATGATTTTTGGACATGTCGTATGGCTGTGTTTGGGGAGTTACGGCGTAGAGTGTTTGTTGGCAACCAGTGTGTCCTCTGAATCCCCAAAGCCTGAGTGGTCCCAGACCTGGCCCGACTCTTTCTGAGGTGGTTTGACCACCTTTGTCATTGCTCCCCTTGGCCAGGTAACATTTTCCCAAGGCCCCGAGCGAGGAGCAGCCTGGTGGACGGTGGATTGGGTGTGGATAAGGCTTCCGTGCTGTGAAGAGCGCCTGTAAATAGATCACCTCACGAAGGGCCAAGATGCTGTAATGTAGGTGGGTGAATACCAACATGTAAGTAGCGGCTCAGAGACTGCAGTGCGGTCACTGCAGAAGTCAGTACCTTCTGTTGTTCTTGGAGCCCAGAGACAGACTCTGAAGCCGCTTGCTCCCAGGCAGTTTCTAGAGTCCCACTGCTCAGGGTGGCTGATGGAGAGGCATTGGCCCAATTCCTTGCTGGAGGCGTCTGGAGCCCTCCTCTCCCCCATTCTGTCCTCCTGTCCAGCTGGCAGGGCTCTTCTCCCTGGGCTGCAGACCGTAGTCCACTTCCAGGTTTCTCCCAAGAAAACGTGGAGACAGATGCCATGACAACAGGAGTTCAGGTCCGTCTCAGCTACGGCTGGAGGGAGTGGTTGAGTTCTGGAAGAGGCCCACGAAGGCTGTGGCTCCTCTGGGCCCTAAGCTGCCACAGCCGTCTTCCGCCTGCCACCCTTTGTTAATTTCCTATCTTTACAATATGATCCCTTCTGACTTCTGAGGCCATGGAACCTTGGACTCTAACAGTGTTCACAGCTTGTGCCGCGCCTGCGTGTCTTTCTGATTCGGTTTTTCTTGGCTTCTTCATGAGCATCAGCTCACTGGGAGGGCTGTTGGTTAAAAAGGCTGCTGGGTCCCTTTCCCAGATGTGCTGATGCCGTAGGTCTGGGGTCAAGAACGTGCATTTCTAATAAAGTCCCAGGTGATGTAGATGTACTTTGAGAACAACTGTCCTCAAGCAGTAACACCCATGAAGTTGCTAGTGACTTTTTTTCTAATACAAAACATACAACTGTAAATGATACATGCTCTTTGGATGGTAGCCCCAAATCCTTCGAATCATGTTGAGAAATGCTGCCTTTGGCTAAACAGAGGGCAGGCAGCTTTGGCCTCACTGTTTTAGGCTCTGCACTGTGCTGTCCCAGCCCAGAGGCAGTCTGTCCTGGGGACTGAAGGCAGTGTCCTCAACAGCCTGTTAGGAGGATGGGGGTTTGGAATGCTCAACCTGCAGCCGCTGGCTTAGCTCGTTGCCGCCACCCTGGTTCTCCTTGGGAAGGTTTCTCTGCAGGCACCATCGCAGAGACTTCTTCCAGCCTGAGATCTACAGTCACGACGGAGGCAGCCCTCTGCGTGGGGCTGGCTCCAGCTCAACTTTGGCTCTCAGGAGTGGGACTGTATGGCCTGCCTAGGACACTAAGCCCTGCTCTGTCTGAGAGTGGCAGGACCTGGTGGGTGCTAGGTTCCTCCCCACTGCCCTGCGGACCCACGAGGAGACAGTTTAGGATCTGTCTTCGCAGCTGACGTCTGCTGAGAAATCCAGTTTCCTGAGAGTAGCATTTCCCTCTCTAGACTCAGGAGGATTGACCCTTAACTGCTTGCCAAGGAGATGGACCATCTTTCCGACGTAAGGTAAACAAACTCTCATTTTGCTTTCCACTCCTCCGCCGGTCATCCTCCTTTTGCATCAGGTCTGAGAAACTTCCCCCTGACCTGTCTGCGGTGGCTCTTCCTTCCACGTTGTCAAGTTTTTCTCTCACATCATCCATATTGTAAGGGAGAAAGTTGACTTCTCCAACCACATGTGAGCTTTTGAAAAAGTCTTTATTACCTGTCATGCAGGAACCCCAGAGAAAGGTTGGTGGATGATGGTGGCTCTTCATAGTGTTTACCTCACAGTCACGCCCTTATTAACTGATTACCTGTTTCTAACTTTTGCAAAGCCATGGTATAGTGGCCAAGTCCTGTGCTCCGGACGCCATCCATGTTGCCTGGGTTTGAATCCCAGGTCCACCCAGCTGTGCAAGCTGGTAATTTCCTCCACCTCTCAGGAGAGAAGGATTTGGACCTGTCGCATTCTCAGACCGAAGACTCACATCTGGTTCTCAAGGTTCCATGAAACACTGGAAGAGGGAGGCTCAGCTGGGAGTCCTAGCAATTAACCTAAAGAAGCTGCATGGCCCACGAGAGCCAGTGAGCTGTAAAAAGAACATCTCAGAGAAGAGTGGAAGGGTTCCCATGTAACACTCAGAATGAAGAAAGCTAATGAAAACCAGTCAGGATCCGAATGTATCACAAGATAAAATGGGGCATGGTTTGCTCTGAGCAACTGACAGAATATGAGGGCAAAGCCCAATCCATTTGACCTTGACTCTAAGAACATTCTCTTTTGATGGATGCAAGAGTCAAACCTTGAGAGGAAGAAATATAATCTCTACACACTGCCCAGCTCCAGCTCTGAATACTATTCACACCATTGTAACAGTTCACATACTGTATCTGTTCTCACCTTTTAAAAGATACCTACAGATGAAGCACACAAAAGGACTACTGCACAGGATGAAAAGCCATCTGCTGTGACAGCGTGAAAATGAAGGCAGAGGTGGACGGTGGGAGACGTCCTGTTATCAGTACAGAGGACCCGACACGAGGGCCACAGTTGATGGGACTACAGTTAGGGTTATTATTAAAGATGAAGAGAACTGTAAAAGGTAGGCTGCAAGTAAGCGGTGTGAGCCAAGTTCTGATTTGTCATAGCAGGGAGTTATGAAGTCTTACGGTTGATGTATCAAGAAGATGAAGAATTAAGTGGTAAAGAATGAAGATTATAGGCAGTACTAGTTGAAAGGTGTTGCCTCTGGGAGGGCAGAGACTTGTTGCTCAGATACAAGCCCTATTTACTAATTAATTAGACTTTTACCACACGCAGCTAATAGTCTGACTGAATGCCACATTCATTATGCCCCACAAATAAATGAAATAACTAAGTAAGGCCCAGTGTGGGTAGGGATGTGCTACAGAAATTGGCACAACCTGGCCCAATAATTCCACCTTCAGGAAACAGACGTAGACAAATATTGGCATATATAGGATGTCCACCTCAAGAATTATTTATAAAATAAAAAATCTCTACGTGTCCAACAGTGACTGTATAACTTGGTAGTGGTATATCCAAATGATAAACACCATACATAACCACTGAAAAATATAGTTGCCGGCTTCCCTGGTGGTGCAGTGGTTGGGAGTCCGCCTGCCGATGCATGGGACACGGGCTTATGCCCCGGTCCGGGAGGGTCCCACATGCCGCGGAGCGGCTGGGCCCGTGAGCCATGGCCGCTGAGCCTGTGTGTCCGGAGCCTGTGCTCTGCAACGGGAGAGGCCACAACAGTGAGAGGCCCGCGTACAGCAAGGAAAAAAAAAAATATATATATATATATATATGTGTGTGTGTGTATATATATATATATATATATATATATATTTGCCAAGTAAGTGTTTTAAATGTTAAAAGGTTTTTAAAAAAGCATATAAAACTGTATTTACAGGGACTTCCCTGGTGGTCCAGTGGTAAAGAATCCACCTTCCAATGCTGGGGACTCGGGTTCGATCCCTGGTGGGGGAACTAAGGTCCGACATGCCCCGGGGCAACTAAGCCCGCATGCCACAACTACTGAGCTTGTGCGCCTCAACTAGAGAGCCAGCCTACCACAAACTGCAGAGCCCACGCACCACAACTAGAGAAGAGAAAACCTGCACGCCACAACAAAGATCCTGCATGCCACAACTAAGACCCGACGCAGCCAAAAAAAATAAACTTTGTTTAGGCAGGAAAGAAGAAAATTAAAATGCTTAAAGAAGGTAGGAGTATGGATGATTTTTTATTTTCAAATCTTTTCCTGTATTTTCCACAAGGAAAATACACATAAAAGAGGAGATAATGATCAAACAGCACGAAGAATCAGTGGATCCGACACAAGACTCTCATGAGGAACATTGCAATGACGTTTGCCCCGTGTCTAAAAATGTCCTGAGAGTGAGGGCCTTGCCTAGGCCAGGACTCCTCTGGAGTCTTCCCACCAAGTTGTTTTATTCTTAAAACTGTCGTGAAGTTAAGTAGTAGTACCCTCATTTTTCATAAGAGTAAATAAAAACATAGCGGTCAAGGCATTTGTTCAAGGCCTCAGTCAGTGGCAGAGGTGGAATTCAAACCCAGGTTGGCCTGGTCCCAGAGTATGAGCCCAGCTCCTCCTGCACACGAAGAATTGGCGCCACCGTTGAGGAACAGTCACTAAGACTTAGCCAAACACAGCGCAGCAGCTTCAGCCTGCCATCTCTTAAAATCTGTACAACCTCACTTTAGAACATTTTAAAAAACCATTAACAAAATATTCATGAATTATGCCAGAGTAGAAGTGCCAGCCTTCCTGTTCAGGAACTATTTAAAAAGGTGCGCTTGTTTACAGAGAGAAACCACCTTCCGTTCATCTGTTCTAACTGAGGAAGGAAAAAATTCAGAACTTAAACTCAGAAGACTGATCAAGATGCTGAAACAAGGGTCCTCCAGAACAGTAACTATCCCTGCATTTACTTAACTGTTAACCAACAGCTTTAGCAAGCACAGAGCCAAACACGAGAGCTTGTCTGAGCGCCAAACGTAAACCATCACCAATTCTGTTTGCCATTTCAGACTTTTCGCCTGTATTATGTTCATAGTTGAAAAATGGATCTCAGTGCTATCTCAACATCTGCCTGCCAGTGACCACTTTTAAGCCGTGTAGTAATTATATGATTTAATACTTCCATTACTGGGTCAAAACAAAAATGGTGCAGTACACTAGATTAAGCTGGAAATCTCTCAAGCAACACAACAAAACCAACATGTGAAGAAAATAAAGCATTCCAGTCAGGTGCCTGAGATTTGAAAAAAACAAATCCACATAATCTGCACAGAATGAGATTCCAGTCTAACTGCACTAAGTATACATAGAAACTGTGCCTCTCCAAGTGTCAACAGTCTGATTCTTTTTACCCCCTAAAGATAAAGGCCATGGAACCCCTGGGCCCAGTCCAGGGAGGAGCCAGACTGGCAGCCTTTGCCAAGATGGACTGACACCTGTAGGTTCCTCCTAGACCGCAGGTTCTAAGATGTCACCGTTGGAAAAGTTCCTTGTAACCTCTGATCTTCAGAGAAGAAAGACACTGCAAAAAAGAGCAAACACCTGCACTGTCTAAAGCAGTCCCAACAGCCTTGTGAAGCCAGGCAGAGCATTTCTTTTCCAATTCACAGAGGAAACCATCTACCTAAATAAAGTTCATGCTGCCGTCCAGGAACTGGTCTAGCTAGAAAGTTCTAACAGATGAGCCCCAAGTCTGCAGTAATTGTTCCCTTTCCCTTGTAAAAAAGACTAAGTAACCTGAGTTTGAGTTATTAAGAAATTAGGATTTTATGAAGTCCAGGAGAGGAACAATTAAACTCTTCATTATAAAAATATCAGCACCAAAAGCCTGGGCTTAAGATGTTCTTAGATACAGATTTTAGGGCTCTTTTTTTTTTTTTTTTTTTATTGCTGATTACAGATTTAAAACTATGAAATGTGCATTTCTTGGCAAGTTACATAAGTGATTTCTTTGCTTACTGACATTTCCAATAAAAGCTTAAGGAAACGGACGAAAACACAAAGGACAAGAGAAATACGAACAGCCTCAAAACAAAAGGATTTAGTGACAGAAAAAAAACCTCCACAGTTAAGTGTCTGTCAAATTTTAGAATTATCAAAACTGTGCAAATGCTCAACTCAATGTCATACACTAAGCTAGTAAAACTTGTCTTTGTAGCTGCAAACTGAAAAAGTCACCCACTTATATTTGTGATCACACAAACCACCTAATTTTCTCAAGGTTCAGCTTAAAGCAACATTTAATAGACAAGTTCAAAAGGAACACTTGCTTTGTTTTAACACAGCTGTGCTCAGACGTCTCCACGATGTCCTCAGAAACCATCCTGGACTAAGCCAATTCAAAAAATACAGTTCAAAGCAGTGTCACACTAGCCGCCTGAAGGTATCCTTGGAGATACTGGAGCGCTTCTGCGTTGAGGCTGGTGCTCACCATTGAGGGAACCTACACAAGATGGGAAGCACACGTACAGCTGCTAGAGATCCCAGCGTACAAACACAACGCCCCCACACTTGCCGCCCTTCTACGGGGGAGCTGCCACAGCTCTGAGAAGGGCAGTCCATCACCAATAATGGTTTAAGGGATCCCCAAGTAACTCAACTGCTTTCATGCCTTCAAAAATGCGAAGATGAATGACAGAGTTCTTTGACCAGAAAGACACTTACCCTTCCTGGACAGGCAGTAGACAATTTGTGAAGTGACTGTGCCAGGTGAATTCTGGGGTTGTTCACCATCTGACCTACAGGATCATGCTCTTTTTTCCCAGCGAATGCCAACTGAGAGAAGGCAGTCTGGTATCCCGGTGTGTCTTCTATGTCAATAAAATGTTCTTCATCAGGAATAGTATTATCTTCAGGTAACTCAAACAGGCCAATCAGAGACTGTAATAAAGGAGTCCTGGATTGGAAGATGACAGAAAGACTGAAGTAACTGCTCTGAAAACTTAAACAATAAGGAGCAGCTTCCTCAGAGACATAAGACTGTAGACTCGTAGTCTCCAGAGTAATAAGGGACCTTTGAAATTACGAATGAAATGGTGCTTATGCCTAACCAGAAACCATTCAGTTCTTTTGGCCATAGCACCCCAATGTCTCTTTCCCAGAGCCGCCAAAGCTGGCTTGTGTGAGTGACCCAGGCCTGGCTGATTAGAAGGCCATATGGCATCAAGCCAGACCAAGGCAATCCAATGCTTCTAAGTCAGAAGAAATAAGCTTCAAGTTGTCAGGTCACTTGACGGAAGGCTACTTGAGTGAAACCATAGTAAGGGAGAGGCAAAAGGTCAAGAAAAGCTAGGTCTGCACATCGAGCTAGACATCAAGCACAAGCATATAAACCTTCTCTTGGCCTATTCAGTTTCTCCTCTTAAGGACTTAGGCCGGTTTAGTCGAGTGACTATCATAAAAGTCTTAGAGATCATCTAAACCACGGACTTTCACCAGGCTTTTCAAAGGGGTCCATGAATTCCCCTACAAAGAAAAGTTAATCAGGGGACTTCCCTGGAGGTCCAGTGGTTAAGACTGCACTTCCACTGCCAGGGGCATGGGTTTGATCCCTGGTCGGGGAAACTAGGATCTCACATGCTGTGCAGCGCGGCCAAAAAAAAAAAAAAAGTTAATCAGGAAACAAGATCTTTCTAGGTAGGCTCAGAAGAACCCACAAGTCATGTCTTGGATCTCATGGTTGCTAGGGGGGAGGCTGAGGTCAGAGCCAAATTCTCTTGGCTCCCAAGAGAATAAGCTTGGTTAATTTTGTAGTCACAGGGGAAAGAAACTGTAATTTCCAAAACACCTTAGCATGGAGTACTTACCATAGCTTGGTATACTCTGTATCCATCATTGGGGGACATTCTGTTAGTAATTTGGTTATGCCAACCGCACAAATCTTTTTCTCTACATTTCCAGATACTTTCTGAATTTCAGGAATAATGATTTTTTCCAAAACCATTCCAAACATTCTATGAATCAATGCAAAATAAATTCATTCAGTATTTCATTATACCACTATAGTCTAATTTAACAGTGAGATGCTTACATTATTTATGCTCAGCGACTCCTTATGAATATAACAAAATACAAAATAAGGCTGTTAATTTTGGTCAACTGAATGGGAGAGACCTAAAAATGACAGAACAAAAACATCAAACCTCTACTCTGTGACCAACTGTCATCATCTTTTGTGAATACTACCTTAAGCCTCTGCTCAAGGAAAATCTTTACAGCCATTCTTTTGGTCTTGTATGTTTTTACAAATTACTCATGAAATCTTTGAAAAATTAGAAATCAGAAAACAGATAAGAAAAAAAGAATTACCATCACCCCACCATCCAGCATTAACTAGTTTTAACATTTTTGGATTATAAGCTTCCCAACTTTCTATGCTTACATACCTTTAAGTATGTAAATGTTAATGGCCGTATTTTAAAAAAATGATTTGGCCTATGAATATTGTCGCAAACATCCTAGCAGTAAAGTTTTTAATAATTCTAAATGCTGTAAGATTCTCAATGTAAAATTCTCAATTTATACTCTCATTATTTTATGAAGAATTTATTTTATTAAATTCTTTCAAGTGGAAATAGTAGATAAAGAGCATGGACATTTTGATGCTCTAGGTAACAAGTACATA